GTTAATACCAGGATTTTTTCTGCATTTCGCAAATTTACAAACATCTCCATAAATACATAAAGGTCCTCAGTTCACTGAATACCATTCAAGCGAATGAACATCTTTCAACGTCTACCTAAAATGTATTCCGAATTCGTCCGTTACAATTTCATTTTCTGCTGACCGAAGTCGAGCAGCACAATTTCAACCTAAAACCATGTATAAATCTTTAATGTCGAAAGCGGCGGATCACGTACGTACTATATATCCAATCTACATCGTGATCCTTAATACGAGCACTCACATTTAAACTGCTTGGAATTACCCTCGCGCTAGTACATATCCGATAGGACGACTGTTCCTCGGAAAATATCACTGGGCGATTCATATTCTCAGGAAAGACACTCTATTCACGACGTGCTTTACATTGGCCAGATTTCAGAATCGTTTCTCTCTTCTTATTTTAGCCCCTTTTACCGAGATGCATACGTATTACGAGTTCAGAGTACTTGCTGTCCTAACAGATTATTCGAGATTAATACGAGCATCGGGAATAAATGTGAAGCAAACGTGAGAAGGAGAGGTAACTGCAATTTTTCTCATCCATTTCTCCATTGTGCGTGAATGCATTGAACAATCGCAGATATCGAACTGAACGGTTCTACTGAAAAACCGTCCTACACACTTGGACACTTGCCGATACAATAAATGTAACTGTCTCCTCGCGCGTATACAAGGTGTCCCATAAATTTCGGAACAAACTTTTGGGAACAATGCTTACGACTGTCAAAAGTAAGATTAATATGTCGTGGAACGTAAAGTTTCATTGAAATGTTGCCGTTTATTGGAATGCTCGAAGAAAATATGAAATCTGAGTTTAATACAGGTGTTGAAATAAGTTCTAAGCTTTATGTTATTTGAATGATTAAGATTTTGTGAAGCAATTTGGAATAATCTAATAATATTTAGAATAATGGAATGCATACTACTAATAGTAATATAATAATATAAAAAATAATAATGGTGTTTTTAAATTCTTGATATGTTGCGTGTCTACTCGTGCTTTGAAAAAGTACAATATACAAGGAACAAATAGACTAATCAAGCTCCTATTTGTAACACATATGTATACCTATATACTTGACACAAAAATCTGTATTACTTTTCTGTTATCAAACGTTAACATTTAAAGTAAACGTAAATATTGAATAAGTATCGTAATCTTATCTTTTCCTAATAAATTATTAACGATAAAGTAACTCTACTGATCATAGTTATGAAATAAATCAGAGAGCAAGGGATTAAGAAACTACATATTTAATAGTACACGCCGTTTGGTGTGACATCGAAGTATGAGCCACCGCTGGTACGCACCAGCGAGAACGCGTTCAGATTTACCTACGAAAATTGTTGTCAATTTGGTTAAAATTGATGGATAAATGCCCACTGTATTAACATCCTATATATTTATCGCAATTAACGGACAAATAGGTTTAAAGAAGTTTAGTTTCTAACAACATAACGACCTCGCATAAACTTCTCTCCGATAAAAAGATAAAAATTCTCCAATAAAAGTTATACACAAAAACTGTAAGTTTTTCTTTTAACCGATGTATTGGTCGCAAACTTTTAACCGGTAGTGCATGTTTTTCGACATACGTTTATCCATATTTCGCTGCGTCATTCAACAAGCACTATCTATCTCAGAGTTCCGAAACAATTTTTCTATCACACTGTATACAAAGACGCATATGCACTCGCATCCGAAGCTGGTCGGGAGTCGCAGCGTCGGCTTGTCGCTATCGTAATATCGAATTGCGTAGTCATATGTGAAGCCAGACGGATGACGTACCAATCGCCCGAGGAAATTCAGATCGCGTATCTAGCCTGTCTACAAGATTTTCCAGGGACGTGTGTCGCGCGAATCTACCTTCCACGTTCCTAGATCACGATCCAAGAGATGCTGCAGAAGGGATAAACCTCGGATAGGAAATAAAAGTGCGGCGCGACTCGAATCTCGCTGGATTCGCGTTACAAGATATCCGACCGTGAAATATCCAGCGTTATTCTGGGGTAGTGATTACGTTTTTCTGAATTTTTGTTTTCTCGAGGTGCGGGAATGCTTGTATTAGTATTAGGTCGAGTAATGTAAAATGTCGGATTTTGTGGGAAAAAAGGAAAACTTATTTAATGTTCTAAAAGACGTTTCTTTAATCAAAATATGAAAAAATAAAATAAAACAATAACATTTTGCTATTATTTTAAAACAACGCCAACACCTACATCATCTATAGTGATTCGACTGAAATCGTTATTTTCATATTCGCATGTTCAAATTTTATAAGTAAGTCATCTCATATTTTGATTCATACATTAAAATAAAATTTACAAATTCACATAACCAAAATAAATATGTAAATGAATCTTAACCCATTATTACATTCCATTCCCAATCGGAAACTTAATTTCAAATGTTCTATATTTTTTTTATTATTATTTATGAACCAGTAACTCTGGATGCTGCTGTCTTGATAACGACTAAAGCGAAAGATTTCATGTCTATGTACCAGGACATTTCAAGGTCACGTCACGGTCAAATACCTCTCGCCGTGATATATAGTATTTCATACCCTGTTGAGATAATTCGATGTCCTTGATTCGGTATCCATACATGTTTTCTTAAACAAAACGTATTTCTATCTCGGAAACTATTGAGTTTCAGATTCATGTTTACTGGGGTTGGTTTACTCCGCTTAGTGAGTTCTATACGCCCTGTCCTTTGTGCGCAATAATTTAGAAACACCCTGTATATAAAATTCCTATATGGAAACTACAATAAATAAATTGATTACTATTTTCTTATTTACTTAGTTACCACACCAACCCTTAAATTGAATAACAGCCATATATTTCTTTTCGACTTCTTTTCAACAAAATTCATGCAATAGACGGTTAATAGGTCAATCAATTTTTCCGAATCCCCAGGATACTCAGTTTTCCGCAGCATCAAGTAATCCGAATTATAAAAAGTAAAAATTTTTCCAGAATCGCAACTTAACTAGCACCACCAATCTCGAGATTTCTCGAGATGGGATTCCCGAGCACAATCGCTATTCCACGGTGTACACTCCGGTTGCGGATACGATCTTAGCTGGAGGTGAATGTAGCGACAGTAATCGTTGGATAACTCTCCGCCCAACCCCCTAAAGGGGGTTGAATCGCTGGCGAAGTGACCGTATCAGGGACTCGCTCAAAGTCCGCGACGGTGGATCTTCCGAGTACGGATTAGGGATAAAATAGAGCACGGATTAAGGGGAAGTCTGTATTCCGGGTAGGTAATTAGCGGATGAAAACTGAAAATCGGGGCCAGCGAATGGAATATCCATCTCTGTCGTGTAATTAAATGTCACAGTGTTTGATTATAATTAATCGTATCGGGTGTATCTAGCTGGATTATCCTAGCACGTTTCTGAAGGACGCATTCTAATTGGAGTCCGTAGGGTAGATACGCCGTGTAATTAATTCCGAATCGATTTCCTCGGCGGCAGGAAGTGTATTTGAACATTTGCAGCGGTGTCCTCTTCCAACGATGGAAAGAAATTAGTTTCCTTGGAGTTCTGCTGATTCACTGTTGCTGATGGATTTCTAGGGGGAATGTTTGGTTCATTGTGAATCGCGGCAGAATGTAGAACCGCGGAGTAAAGTCCTAGCGTTGAGGGAACGAATGATAATAGCAGCGTGCATCTGTCAAAGGGAAAGTGCCGAGAATGGAAATTGAAACATTTCAATTGTTAGTTTTAAGGAAGAAAGTGTGTAAAATATTCTACCGTAAAATGATTTGATTATAGTTAGTTTGATTTTTATTGCATTTTTAGTTAGATCAATATTCCTTCTTTTATTAGCACTGGGATTTGTGAGATGTCAGTACAGGTGATAATTTATGTGGATGCTCATAGTATATGATAAAAAATAAATATGTTTAACAAGAAGAGACTAATGAATGAATTAAATTCGTTGTAAACTGACAATTTATTGTTGTATTACTATTCATGCTTACGGGTTATGGAAAGCAGAAAGAATAGTTATAACACAGTATAATTATAATTACAAAATATAATAGGGACGATTTAATATCATGCTTAAAACTTTGTTCTAATTTTTATTGATTTCCTACTGTTGTTTTTTCCAAAATTTAATCGAAAATGTATGTCATAAAATAGGAAACATTACTTCTACTTTATATTTAGGAGGTATAAACTCAATGAAGAAACTTGAACCATTTTCGATCAAACTACACCTTAACCTACCTAATACAAGGTTTAATGTTACTTTCAGTGCCTTAGAAACGGTAGTTAAGGGAATTCTCAAGCAATAAAATTTAGCCCAGTATAACAATCGATAAGAGTCGATGCACGTATACGAAATAAATTTGCGAAAAATGGTACAAAAGGAATCTAAATTGTTTATTTTAAGGCGAACAATTTAAAAAGAACATTTATTTCCTATACTCCCTACTTTCAGAGATATTGTAAAAAAAATTTCAACCCTCAACTTTGAAGGCTGTTTTCACCCCTTCAAAGTGGGTGTTAGTCAATAAGAAAAAAGACAGAAACACAAGTATATTTTACAACGTTTTATTATATAGTACCCTATCGTATAAAAATACAATAAGCAACTGATTATTTCTGTCAGATATAAATAATAAGTGAATAACATATTAATTATATTTTATATACGATAAATGGAATTGTCGTTTTAATACTTTTACACTAACGTTAACTTTGTAATGTTTTGGCATGGTAATTGTTTTAAATCGTTTCGTGCTATCGCGGTTGTACTTCTTAAACGGAGTTCCGGTCAATGTCCTCGACTCCCTTCATAGGCGTTGCGCACGGCGTCGCTTATTCAGTCGATTCACAAAGACTAGTGGAAAGGAAATTTTCTCCCTGTTGTTCGCCTTGCCGGCACGGCTACTTCATAATTGATCAACCAATTGGTATACGTCGCTATTCTGTTTTCAGGACTCGAGGCTGAGTTGTACTATGTCAGGGAAGGAGTGGTCAATACGTACGCGATGAACTTCGTAGTGCCAGTACCCGCGAACATTGCGGAACTCGAGTTTTCCTGGCAGAGCCTGGTCGGACATCCGGTGAGTAAAAACGCAACACATCGTATTAATCTTTTGCTCCCTATAGGCTCCACTGACACCATGAAACCATATGTAGTACCGAATATTTTAACACGTTCCGTGCCATTGGAAAGTTTTTGGTAATTTTTATATATTTTGATATCGTTTCTTGACGTTTTCGCTACTTTGTAAAGTGTACTGCTGTCCGTGACCACGTGTCTCTTAAAAATATTTTCTTACGTATTAATGAATACATTTAGAAAAACTACCCTAAGGCTATTGGCTTTTCTACATACCGAAATTTTATATTAAGAAGAAAAATAAAAAATATAAGAAATATTGTAATGTAACATTTTTAATTTTTGTTATTGGCGCTATAACAATGGCTTGGAGTTGTTGATAGATTACAAAATTGTTTGGAGTGCTAAGAGTTAACACTAATCATACCAAGAACCGGTCAAATGACCAGATTCTAAATTCTGCGTCTACTTTCGTTTATATAACTTTATGTCAATTCTTGTACTGTCCGATTAATCAGGTTTTTAATTTCTGGCTTTCCTTTTGTTTCTATTTTCACTAAGAAACATTTATTATCAAACTTGTTTACCTTTATTTTGTCATCAGTTATTTGACTGGTTACGGTAAAGTGCTGGTTAAGGAAAAGTGCTACTGCAGTTAGTGCTAAACCAACAAAAATTGGGTTTGTTTTAAACAATTGAATTTATTATAAATTACTGATTTCTTATAGTGAAATTACTGTACTCAATGCTATTGAAGTTATCATTATTTTTATTATGAGTATAGTCTATAATGAATATCATACCCTGCTAAATAATACCTTCAAACTTTATATGTTTATTGGACATTTAAATATCTGAAACACTTTAATTTTCCATTGAATTTTAAAAAGATTAAACATTATATATATAAAATTGACATTCATAAAGATATAAATCTACTGTTGTGCATAAGTTTAAACCAAACTAAAAATGTTTTTGGTAGTTAATTAAATAGTAAGAAGCTTATAAAATAACGCAATCCTACTGTGGAATATAAGGGACGTTATGTACTTGATTAACCTACGATTACAAATTTCGGGTCATTTATGCCCAGACATAATTGTTCCTATATTTATATATTTGCCTATTTATAAATTTAAAGGTTGACTTTATGTATTTCTTTGTAAACCTTGCATAAAATGCAAATTTTATGAGGGGACATAACAGCCATCCGTTTCCCAAGGGTTTAGTAATAACTCTATAATAAATTTACATAGATATCCATAAAGCCGTTATTATTTTACCGCCAACACAATATTTACAAAAAAAATACACATGAAAACATTTCCTGTATTTAAGCACCACAATTACATAAAGAAAATGAACCCGTTGTCTTATAATAACGTGCCAGGCACGTGGCGAAGATTTTAAACAGAATTTAACAAACATAAATATTATTCTTCTGCTATCAATTATTATAGTTTAGAGTGAACATAGGCATAGAGTAGACCAAAAATGTTGGTCTTTTTTTCTATAAACTGTTAACTCTTTTAGTGCCGCGCAACGAGACGCCTTATCCTTCATATCGTGATAGAACTCTGTTTCAAAATAAATTTATAAAACGTTACAAATGGTTCCGCGATGATTGATATTTATACTTTATACTACGTGTCCTATATCAAACTAAGGCCAAACGATATTGAAATATAACTGGCATTAATTCATTCTCTCTTTATTTCGTAATATAATCCTTTTCGAATTTTGTACATATCATTCTTACTTTTTTTTTTAGTGACTTTTTTCAAGCCTTACTAAATTAAATCGAATTGGTTCGATATTCTTTGCTTAAGTATAATTCCTTCGGGCAACACTAGAAGGGTGAATAACAAAGTAGCTGTATCTATCTGAGAAATAAATCACAGGGCAAGGGCTTAATCATTCACTTTCCTCCAACCCGCCATAAAACAAAGAACAACCGCTAACCGACCCGCGTGGACCCACATTCACAACTCTAAAAAGCAAGAAGAAAAATCCGAACCTTTCAACCCAGATGATCTACCTTTATACGCCGCGCCATTACGCGTTCCTTTCCATCTCGCATGAACTCTGCATCCAGCGGTCGTCTCTCCTAAAAGAGATCCGTCCATTTTGCAGCTTATAACGACCTTTCAGGGCGCGATACGGCCGCGCATAACCGTACACGGTGCCGGGTAAAATGCTTGCACCGGCCATTAGCGAGGTGCAACAATGCGGAACAAAGTAAACACGTGACTCGGCCGAAATGGTAACTCATGGCACGCTCGTGTACCCGAGAACCGGGACGGGCAGGTCCGTCACGGTGGTTCGCGAAGGGCGAACGACGGAGTGGGCTGGTTGGAGTGTGGGTGCTGAGGGGTCGGAGGTGGTAGGGGCAGCGAGCTTGTCGAACAAAGGGGTTACAGGAGGGCTGTATCAATACTCTATCAATATCAAATACAAACAGGCAGTATTCGAACGGGAGAAGGTGGAAAGGGTGGCTGGTATAAACCGTGTGCGGTTCGGCGTTGCGTTCCCTTCGGTCACCAAGGAAACCGAGTGAGCCCATCGGAAACCTACGGAACAACCCCCGCGCGAGGGAAAACGCGAAAAGTCGCGCACCCCTTGCCGCGCTTTTGTGCTGGAACGATGTCGCGTCGCGGAATCAATGGAGTATGATAATCATTGAAAATGTTGGATTATGTTATTGCTGATTGGTCGTGTATGTAGATGTTTTTAGTTGACACGTTGATTGCCATGGCGGTCACCGATGACCGGAGTTTTCAAATTACCAGAAAATAATTATGACTGGTTAGATGACTGACGTCGAATAAAAATGTTCAGTAAATAATTAGATAATAGTGTAACGTAAGAATTGTGATACCGAATAATTACGAATTCTTCTTTCTGCATCTTTGCTAGGAAAAGAATAAGTGACAAATAAAACGCTGTTGTTTTTCGTGGCAGTCAACGTGTTAAAATTTAAACTGTTAGAGAGGCATTGTTGACTTTTGTTTAATACTAAAATTATCGACCAGTTAAATTGTCTTTTTGAAATTTCTCTGTAGAAACTTTAAGAGGGTATCTACTGAAACTTGAATCTGAGTAAGTCACTACATGATATAAAGTATTAGAATGAAAACAACATATTTAATTTTGAGGTTCATATATTTTGAAAATTAAAAGTATATCGGTGTGGGGTCAGAAATGACTCCAGCGCAGGCTTTCAAAGGCTGTACTCCGAGGGTACATCGGACATGACATGTATGTCATGACGAGTCTAGCTTGTCATTGTAGGACAAGGGATTATGTATTACTCAACCCCTTGACCTACAATGTCGTGTAAGACTCGTAACGAAAGTTTTAAACTGAATTTGATAAAACTAAGCATTGTACAATTTTTTAAAATATAAATTAAATAATAATTTTCTACTATAATCGTTAACCTTTGGAATAAACATAGGCATAGAATAAGCATAAAAATTTGGTCATTTCCTAATAAATTATTCACGATAAAGTAATTGTATCGATCATAGTTACGAAACAAATCATAGGGCAAGGGATTAAGAAAGTAGGGAATCAATGAAAATCAATGAAAACATAATTTTCCTACATACAATATGCTTCAACATATACTATTTTTGTAAGACATGCTTCCAAATATTGACAGTTTTCGTCCTATTGTCATGATCGATCGCACATGTTAGCATGAGAATTAATTTGTTTGACACTAGTACTATCGTACCAGTAAAAATAACTGATTCCAGTTTTCCCATGTTGCAATTATTGATATTTTAAAAATATGGAATATTCAAAATGCTTTTTAAAATTCATAGTTTCACTTACGTACTATAATAAATATCAGCGTAAATTTTAAAAATCTGTTGTCACAACTTTTTTAAAAATTATGTTAGTTATATTGAATGCTCAGTAGTTCAGGGGTTAATGTTCCACGCAATTCTTATCTTTCGTAAATGAATATATATTTTTTATCAAATTTATTTTTCAATGATGTTTCATAAAAATCAGTGTGCATCCCTTAACACTAAAACTACCGTACCAGTCAAAATGACTGGTTTTGGCGTTTTTGTTTTACAATTATTGATATGTTCAAAGTATTGAATATTCGAAATGATTTTAAAAATAAATAGTTTTACTTGAATACTATGACTGCCTGAAAAAACTGAAAATAATCCATTGGTGCAATATTTATAGGGATTATATATCAATCGTATTAAATACTCGGTAGTTCTAGTGTAAAATATAAAATATTATTTTATTAAAAATGAAATATTATTTTATTAACACTAGAACTACCATACAAGTCTAAATAACGGATTTCAGTTTTTTTCGCAATTATCAATATCTTCAAAGCATTGAATATTCGAAATGATTTTGAAAATAAATAATTTCACTTGTATACTGCAATGACTATCTAAAGAAACTGAAAATAATCTGTTGTTACAATATTTATAGGTATTACATACCAATCGTATTAAATATTCGGTAGTTTTAGTGTTAAATTTATGTCATTGTTAGGATTCTGTTGAGAACATGGTCCTTTTCGTGGAAAAAAAGTCAAAGTTCTCTGCGCTATTTAATACGCCCCTGCAAACGATAATACGTCAAGGAAATCAGACTGTGCATGGTTGTCGTTACGCGCTTCAGTTACCGCGAATTCCGTATTAATTTCTGACGAGGGGCCGACCTCGACTTTATTGCCGGGCGTAATTGTCGGCTGAGTGTCTTGAGCGGCAAGGCAGGGGTGCCGGTGCTTATTAGCGGTAATTGAATACGATGTTCTTTAACCGTACAGAGTTGCGTGAAGGAAACCATTATGCACGCGATAAGCGCCGTGTTATTTGTTGGACAGGCGAATCTGAGGGGGTGTCGATTAATTTGTAATTTGATTAGGCAAACTGCCTGGAGGGAAACGTGAGAAGGATGTGGTAGGATTACCTGCGGTTAAAGAAATTCGTTAATCCGTTTAAGATAAAATAAAGTCAG